AGGGGGGGGAGGGGGGGGGGGTGGAAGGGGGTTTGGGAGGCAAGAGGAGGGTTTGGTTTGCTCGTGCACGCAAGTGATATTAGGTAGAAACGCATGAACTTTGATATATTCGTGAGGTTGTAGGAAGAGAGGGTAAAGGGGGGAATGATGGAGGGGGAAGGGGGAGAGTAGTCAAAGCGTGGAAGGTGAACGGCGGTCGAGCATGGCGGCACAAGGCGCCATATCGCGGCAAGTATCCGAACCATACGTGACCTGCAACTTTCTGGTAGCATCTTTCCTCGAGAAATCGATCTAGAAAATGCTCGGTCTCTTGAAAGGGATTCTCGCGATTTCCCGAGAAGAGCTCGGGTACACGATAATAGCATTTAACGCAAAATACCAGGCGGCTCGTAGTCGAATATATTTGCCGTTCGATTTGCATTTCAAGCTCTTAATCTGGTTTATGAAAAATGCTTTTTTTGATACAAAAATATTCCTGTATATCAATATTCTTTGAAGATATTTTAATTTTTAACAAGGATCGACAATCCTATTCATCAAATGCGCATATTACTGCATTCGTTATAGTGACATTTAAGTAGAGACCTAAAGGGAGGAATATAAAACGCTTATATACTATACTTAAGGGTTGAGCCGGTTTCGCTATTCCTGCAGGTCAATGCGCGCGATGCGCCAAGCAGCTTCGTGAAAACGGCCGCGAGAATTCGAGAGACTGAGAGATTGTGGTAGAGAGGAGGCAACGACGACGACGATGGTTGCAGAGGAGGCGGCAGCGACGGCGACGGTGGCGGAAGGCGGAAAACAACGGAAAATAAAGCAGCGGAAGAATCGCGTCGCAGGAAAAAGAATGAGGGCGCTGTCAGCTGGTGGAAATTATTCTGATTATGCTAATTCCGGTTCTGTTCCACTCCTTTACCCAGGCGTCCCCCAGCCCCATCGCCTCCCTGCTGCTGTCTGCGCCATCTTTCATAGGTGATATTTATAATACAGGGGTTCCCGAGCAGTTTCAAACTCTTTTTGGCCCCCCCCCC